TTGCGCTAACCTGCAGCGGTATGTGTGTGACATATCTTACAATCCATAAATTCATCAAGTTCGGCGTTTGCTCTTCCCGTAAGCTACCCCGACAACATCGGCCATGGAGCACCAGCTCCTTCCTCTGCTGTAAACAACGCACTACTGCGGAAATACTGCGAAAAACCCGTGTGCATGAGGACCCTCTCTCAATTTGGGCTCTCCCGCTTCAATATCCCAGATGCTCTCCCCTTGGAGGAAGCATTCCATCTCCTCCTGCTGCTGGACTGTCAGAGATGGCTGCTGGTCCATGGTCTCACCACCGGTGGTTGCGCTTGAGAGGCCACTGGAAGCCGGGGATGATGACGGGGAAGATCTGGCACGATGGGCGAGTCTCATGCGCGCGGCAAAGCCTTCCCAGGTTGTACTATTCGCATTCGTTTTGCTGGATGGCCAGGGGCTGGTTGCGGCTGACGTAGCTTGGACTGGATCTGCCGGTGGTCGTGTCGAAGGGGCTGACTGATTTCCGGTAGTCGTCCGTTTCCTCTTGGCTCCCGTACATGTATTCTCCCCTTCCTCCTCCTCGCCAAAGACGTGACCGAACCCGGCAGCGCCCCTGAACCCTGACGCGCCCGTTTTCTGGAACGGATTGTGCTTGCTGCTCTCGGAGTCGGGTGGAGCTGAAGCTGTGGTGGCAGGTGGCTTCGCGGAAGCTGAATGGCATTGTGTCCCACGCGAGACTGGGCTGCGTGCTAGTAAGGGAATGCTATGTTTGGTGGCAGCAGCTGCGGGCGGTAAGTTGTAGCCGAGGTGACTCCACTTGTCCAAAGCGAACGGAACATTGAGATTGTTGACTTTGATGTCTTGGATGGCTTGGTGGAGGAAAGCCCGCGTGATGAAGTGGTCCTGGCCGACCGCGGCCATGCAATTCAGGAGAAACTCGAGGTTGGCGGAGTTGCAGGCGCCCTTGGTATCCGTGGCCAGATAGACGTAAACCGAGGCAGCGCAGTAGATGGATAATGCGGAGAGGGGACTCTTCATTCCTAGGCTGATATGCGCCGTCAACTTCATGATATTGACTATTTCCTGGGCCGCTGTCGACAATCGGTCGAGGCTTGCTTTCTTCAGGTGGCCTGGGAGTTTGAACTGGTCAGCCTTGTCACAGGCCGCATTGTGCAGACAGATGACGGCGGCGTGTAAGTTGAGATTGATCTGAACGGCGGTCGGGTTACGTAGATTCTTGGGCAGCCGGAAACGCTCGGGAAGGAACATGAAGGCGTTGGAAAGAGTGTTGTCCAGATCTCGGTGTCTCATCCAAAACTTTCCGTTCTCGACATCATCCGGCTGATCGTATGGTGTCGGTCGGTGCACATGCCGCAATATTTGGTTGAACAGGTGACACACAATGATGGCGCCTGCAAATGTGGAATAATTCCCAAGACTGAAGACGTCGTGAAGAGGCGGCGTCCTTTCCTCGTTCCCGGAATTGAAGGCTTCCTCAGAGGCCGGCAGGTGTGTCGTGATCTCGGTGTGGTCCAGCACGTTGGGAAACCCTGTGCTGATGCTCGCATGCGAATCGAAGCAGAAAGCGCCCCAGAGGATGCGCCTCCTTTCCTCTAGCTCTATCCAGTCTGCCGGTGGTGGAAACATGGATGTAATGGGCGAGTCGTATGTGTTCGCATTATCATCGAGCCGGTGAAGGCCCATCATCATGACCAATTTTGAGCATCGTGCCGAGCTCATGCAGGCTCGCATGAAGTTCATGCAGCGCGCTTCATCGGTTGCGATCAGCGCCCAGGCTTGGGCATGGCCAACGGTCAGAAAGTGTTCTCCGTAACCCTAATGGAAGTCAGCTTCTTCTCCGGTGAGAACGCTAGGGATAAAGTAGGACGCATAACCCTACCTTCACCTCATCAGCCTCCATGTACTGGCGTGCTCGCTGCAGAAAGACGTCATGATAGGACTTGTACTTGTCGTCGCAGTTGGACGCCATAGCCCATATTGCATATTGAAGACCCATTGGAGGTCGCTTGTGAGGGGCCGAGTAGAAGGACTGCAGGTACCTCCCCTTGTGAATGATGGGAATCATGAGCTGTTGCTTGGCAAAGTAAAGCTCATGCCTGTTGTTCGTTCCGGTATCAGCGATCGACTGCACAATGTAAGGATGGCTAATCCAGGCGACTGCCTGCGGATGTCTTACAGCTCCTCAATCCATTCGGCGGGCGGGAGTGTCTCGAATTGACCGAGCCCAAAGAGCTCACCGCCACAGAATGCATTGTCTAGCCCGTCAAAAGTTGGATTTACTGTGGTAGATGCCCACGACTCTGGGACAAGGTCCACGGGAGGTATGTTGTCGCCAAATAGCTGGCCGGCTACATCGAACTCAAAGTCGTCTCCAGCCCAGGCATCGTTGATGTCGAGCTCGGGGGACGGATCGCTTGGCTGCAGAGTAATATTACAGCCATTGACAACGTCGATTGGGTCTGGGACACAAGCAGCTGGCTTAGTCGTAGTGGTGACCACAGCAGGTGTAGCCTTTGCCTTTCCCACCTCCTTCAGCAGCCCCTCGACTTGTGCTGGCAGGCCGAATCAGCAATGACAGTACGATACAATGCACCCAATAGTCTGGAGTCCGGTGCTGACATACCCAATCGAGCCTCCAACTCGCGGACATTCCTCCGCTTCGATGCCGGCTTGCGCCGTGACTCGGGGTAGACACAATCGGTCTTGAGCTTGGCACAGCGAGCACAGGTGGGTTTCTCGCGGTCACATTTGAGTTTCCGAGCCCGGCAAGTCACACATGACAGCACCTCGGGGTGTTTTTCAGTGGCAGAGCCGCCAGCAAAAGTCACCGACCGTCCCGTCGGTACCTGTTCGTCATCCGACATTGTACGTCTCGCTCACACTCGAGGACGGGAGTGGATAAGGAGGGACAAAGCTCATCCCACCTTCCAGACAAACATTAATAATTGCGCTTTTTTTTTTTTTTTTGGCAGACTGCGCCCTATAAACCATCCGTATTTCGCATTCTCTTTCGAGCCTTCCCGAAACACGTAACAGGCAACGACATACCTCCCTTTCGCTTATGATCCTGTTGTCGTGGAAGTCAGCCCTAAGCCGGTTAGAGCCAACCAACCACGATGCATCTGCGCCGTTACCGTCAATCTCGGACTCCGTTTTGGTCCGATCACCGAGCTGCACCTCGTGCCGTGCCAGCGAACCCACGAGAGCAGCTGCCCGATCGTGATTGCCCATATCGAGCATTGAAACGTTTGATGTCCTACTACCAAGGTGGGGACGAAAAGGAATTATTAGAGATAGCTTGGAAATGCGATTTGACCTGCCAAAGTCACAAATCCACACATAAATTGCCCCCGTTAGCTCACTAGTAGTGCAGCGGGAGACTTCGGTATCAAGGAGGTACAACAAAGCGCGCAACATTGTTGAATTGTTCGTGTACGTGTAGTTTGGCCCTCGCGATGCAGCTGGTTGATAGGAATGCAAATCGAAGGTGGGAGGAGCTCACTGTATTGGCGGATCCAGTCCAGTAGGTATGGGAACGTTGTACCTTTCAATTTCTGTACGTGTATAAGGAAGGTACGAGGCCCAACGGCCTCAAGAGTACGACTTACTCTATATACCCCCAACTCCAGATATTCAAACCGACCTTGACGCCCTTTTCAACCGGTAGACCAGCATGCCACGACTCCTTGTATCCTCGGCCCGTCCCATCAGACCTAAAGTTCTCCCAGTACACGGCATTTCCAGCGACGGGCTTGAACACCGTCCCAGTCTCAATCTCCCCATCTTCAGCTTGACCACCGTCGGGACACTCCACAAACCGGCACCACCTCTGGTCGGTCCTCGTACCAAGTAGAGGGAACTCCGTCCCACCGCCTTGCAGATCCTTGTCATCACCGACCCAGGCCATGAAACTGCTGACTCTTCCCCAGCCACCTCGGCCACTACTCCAGTCAAAGTGATGGTTGTAGTGTCCTCCAGGGTAATATCGCTGAGTGCGTAGACGCTCAACCCAGACCTGCTCACGCCAGCCTTGGAGGGCTCGAGCGCGGGCTTCGATGCAACGGACTGATGATGTCCGCGGGATCATGGCCACCTCGGAGTCACGAACAGATGTGTCGCGGTTGGTTGTTGCGCCGCCATCGGAAGTAGTGGTGGACGGGGCAAAGATTGGTTCACTTAGAGGACCGGTAAGTACGGGATTACCAACGAGCAATCAGGTGATGGATACCTTATTTCAAGCAGATGTGACCTTTCATCATCGGACAGAAATCCTTCGATATAGATGACCAATGGCTCCCTGGAGTAGATGTGGATGGAGTACTTGTCGTGAGGACACTGCAGGTCCGTTCCATTCGGCGCGCCATCGTCCTCCAGGGCAAGTAGTGTAGTGTTCAGGTTGCCCAGTGGTGTTCGCCTGAGTTGAGGTGCTGTCTCATGTGATACCATGTCCATGATAGGATTATAGAAAACCACGAGCAGGGCCACAAGGCCAATGATGTATGAAAACATTGTCACCACAGTCCGGAAGTGACTGTCTTGACGCTTGCAATACCAAGAAGGCAAAAAAGAAAGAGTAAGATATATAGGAGATACACCCCAATGTTACCGGCCTCTCTCAACCGTCCATCGACCGAGATACCGCCCGTTGATGTCAAGCGCGGCGCAGCACCCGTTCATGTCATGATGGCCGGGGCCGATGCGACGAAGGGGTCCACTCCATTCCGACCATCGTGGATACCTCAGGAAGCTTGAAAGTTTTGAACTCCATTTACATCCACACGGAGTTTGATGTTTCTTCAAACATTCCTTACAACTGAAAGCTCACCCTTCTCACCTACGTTCTAGGGGTGCTTCATGTGACACCACATGGCATAATGCACCTGCAAGTGCAGTCTGCGATCTAGATCGCCAAGACAACCGGCACCTGCCACACATAAGTGACGTACTTATTCGTATCACTGATTATGAGTAAAACTACTTACTGCAATAATGTAGCATCCGGTATAGTGTAACGGTTAACATATCGCGTTTTCAAATCTAATGATCCGCGGGGCTCGGGGTTCGATTCCCCGTACCGGAGTTTTTCACTTTTGTACTTTTTACCATTCATGTTCCATTTCACAACCAGCGTATCTGCATGATCATTAACAATGAAAGAGTGCCTCCCATAGCAAGTTGATGAAGGTTCTTTATCCATGTTATCATACACAAGTTAGGAATTTTTTCCCTCCAGATTGTTAGGCACAGTTTGGTCTTTCGGACGCGGACACTACGCTAACTAGGCTACATATAGGGGCCTTCATAGGGCTTCAGTTATGCCTAACCTTGCACTCTCCAGTTCCATTGCAACGGCGTTACTGGTACACTGTCGTCCCCGTTTCCTATATGACTCTGATCATCGTACTTGTGACGGCGCGGCTTTGATATTCGGGCTGCTAGATCACACCCACATATATTACACCCCGCTATATATCATATCGACCGAGCGATGTGAATCACGTAGCCCTTTTTAGAAAGCGAACACCTGGTCCTCGAGCTTGCTCACTGGACGCGCCTTCTTGTAACCAAGAGCCTCAGTAGCCTTCTTCAGACCGCTAATCATCGGAGGAGGGCCGCAAAGCAGAATCTTGACGTCGGGAGCAGGGGCAGGGAGCCATTTCTGCAGCAGATATTAGAGACGGAGTCATGCCAAATAGTGAGATAGCGGGAACGTACAGTAATCATATCAGCGGTGACATAGCCAACACCGCCAGTCCATCCCTCAGGAGGCTTGTCAAGAACGTAGTGGACCCTGACGCCAGGATCCGAAGCCGCAAGCTCATCCAGGTCCTCCTTGAGTAGGATGTCCTGCTGCGTCACATTGGCAAAGATGAGGTCGACTTCAGTGCGGTCACCGGCCTTGCGTCCGCGGATGATGGCGCGGATAACCTGCAGCATGGGGGTGATACCAGTGCCGCCCGCGATCATACCGAAATGACGGACCATGTTGGGAGAATAGACGAAAGCACCCTTGGGTCCCTTGACACGAATAGTCTGTCCGACGGCGAGGCCGGCCATGTGCTTGCTGATGTTGCCGGTGGGGTAGGACTTGATCAGAAGGTCGAAATAGCCGGGTTGGTGATCACCGCTGATAGGAGTATAGGACCGAACAACCTCCTTGGCGCTGCCGTCGGGCTGAGGAATAGCGGCACCAATGGAGATGTGCTGGCCGATCGGAAGACCGAGGACGGAGCGGGGAGTGGGGAGGTTGAAGCGGTAGATGGCGACATTGTGGGAAATGACCGTCTTCTCCTTGAGCTCGAATTCTTGGAACTGGTCGGGCTTGAGGACCTTGGCAGGCTCTGCACAACAACCCAGTTAGCAGATGAACCCAAGTAATCGTCGTGTGTTTGGTTAGCCACTCACGAATCCTCCAGAACTTCACCAGGCCGAGCGTAAGGGCAAGAAGCGCCGCATAGATAGTCCACTCCCTCTTGACAATAAGGGTCCCGAAGACGAGAAGGCCGGCAGGGATATAAATCCCGTCGGCCATCTTCCGTGAAAGCAGAGGCTCAGACATTGTGCGGGCACCCGTTTTGATAAGCTCAAGGAGTAGCTCGACAATGTGCTTTAGGTGTTGAAAATGGACAAGAGAATTCGCAGAACAAGACCCCTCGACTTGTCGGTGGGTAGTTATGGGGACTTTTGACAAATGATGGGGAGCTCCCAATCCCAAAATGGACGATTTTCCCGACTTACCGGGGTCAAGATCTGTGATCCATTTTCTGCCGCCACGGGAGGCACTTGGACCCGGCTTTCTGGACAAGGAGGGGCGGTCTGGGCGGAACCCCCCGAGTCAATCAGCTTCAAACAACAACTTGACAACGGGCAATGGCGATTCACTGTCTCACTGGCGGCATTGGTTACTCGAGTTTGATAGGTATCGGTTTCAGATTCAACAGATCGTTGCGCGTTGGACGTCGAAGCTCTGTTTTGACAGCAACAAGACGATATCATATTCGGGAGCATCATCGATCAGCCGCTCCAATGGGGGACAACTTCAGCAACAATGGCGAGGCCCCGTTTCCTCTCACTGAGACCGATAGATTTGTATTATCGCAGACTGATGAGGAGTACAAGAATCATGACTGGGAAGAACTAAGAGATATCATCAGTGAGTTCGGTGCCATTTTTTTTACCAGAGGTCTACTTTAACCATGTTCAGAAACAAATAATCTCGCTGTTCTCAAGAGGAAACCGTCTGATTTGAGACGCTACATGAAATGGACAGCTGAGACCAAAGCCCGATATGGAAGCATGACCAACTACCTCCTCGCCCATCGGTTGCCCAAAGCATGGGGACGCCCGCCTTTTACACCGGCATCCAACATCCCCTTCGCGGATTCATCCGACTACAGGGTCTTGATAAATGATTGGCCATATGGCTTCACACCAGGCATCACTCATATTGTGGTTTGGTCCCGAACAACAATACCCACCGACTCAGAAAAAGGGGACATGACACCACAGAGTAGGAAAATAGTAGGCGATTTCGTGAAGCGTTTCTTTGTTGATAGGCTTGGCCCTGGAGGGGAGGACCAGGTGATGTGGTTCAAGAATTGGGTAGCCTTGCAGAGCGTCCGATCCCTGGATCACATACATGTTATGGTGAGAGATGTTGAGCCTGACCTGCTGGAGGAGTGGACCAAAGAATAGGCCTACCAACTTAACAGCCTATCACACCAGGCACTTGAGCTTTTGATTTGGGCATCGGGTCTTGGTCGTCATGGTGTATCTGCCAATATCGTACCAAGATCAAGAATTTGAGACGTCCTCACATGTCACCTTCTTGTGGCCTAAGGAAACGAAATTCTTGTCATGATTCTATTTCCCTGTGGAACTACCCCATAATACCTCGCACCTTCAAAGTCTGTGTCGACCTTTGGCTAGCTTCGGTGAACGTAGAGACGCGTTCGTCATCACCGTTCCCCACATGTTGTCGTCCATGTGGCCATGTTTCAAACCCGAATTTCGTTCCAAACCCAAGGTAGATGCACTAACATGCAACAAGATTGAACAGTGCGGTTTGTGTGCGGTAGCGCTTGATTCTCGATGCCATGGTCCACCCGAAAACTTCCCTAGCGCGGCCCTCCGCTTCAACGGCGACAAGCCTTGGTTGGCCACCTTCATTAAGAAGATAAATTGCACGGGGTCACTGAGGGCGAAGACGAAGATGAAGACGCGGACCATATGCGAACACTGGGTCCTGCCTTCTGCTTCCTCATGCTCTGCAGATGGCAAGGCGAGTCCTCCTAGGCTGCTCGTCTTTGCTTGCGATTCATCGCAGGTTGTCCACTAGCATTCTCAATGCCGTTCAGCTGGCCTAGCTGCCTCGCGGCTCCCCACAAACTATAACCCTTGAGGGCGCCGAAAGCAGGCACCACTGCCAGAAGAAACCAGAACCGGTTGCCGAGGAAAGTGACAAGAACGGTGGTGCCCCATGTGAACCAGATGACATCGAACATGTACTCCGTCAGTCCAGGAGCAGCAAGATCCTCGCCTGAAGTCTTAAGTGCGCCCGAGGCAGGATCATACGTCGGACGCCCAGTTCTCTCCAATGTGAACTGACAGATCCAGCTGGGAAGGGACAGGAGAAACCACCAAAAAGCGGAGCGGTTCTTGAAGAAGTAGTAAACGACGAGGAAGAGGCCATTGACGATTGCTGAGCCGATATGGAGGTTGTTGAGCGCCGCAGCGTTCATCTTGGCACGGTCCTTCCTTGCCTTCTGAGCCATGTTGTAGTCGATTGGAGTTGTCGCAACCCAACCGTCAGACGGGAAATACCTTGTGGTTCTAAGTTGAATAGGTACCTAAGAACTCTTGTAAGTTGCGACGCGATGGTACAGGTGACGGTGACGTAAGGCTCAGGTAGGTTTCGTTGTCCTCCCAGAGGAATTGTGGCAGGTAGCTGAGGATGCGCGCTTAGGCCAGGTGGGCTTGCCGCGTTAAAAGTGGCGCTTGAGGAAGGTTGCCCGGATGCCAGCTCGCAAGCGACGGAACCAATCATATCGTTGCCTCTTGAGTAAACTTGCCGCATCACAACATCGCGAAATCGTCCAACTGCGACTGACGGAGTTAGCCGCTTTCAGTCTCCCTTCGCGGCCCAACGAAGTCGTCACCGACCTAGAGTGTGGTGTGGCTAGTCATCACTTCTGCTCTACCTATCGAGACGTCTGCATCCGTTCGACAACGGATCACACCTGACAAGGTTTGACTCCGACTGATTCCATTCATTCCTCCTTGTCCTCGTTGGACGTTGTTTCCCTTGGGTCTCCGAGCCACGACATGTCTTCCAGAGCGAGCAACTTACTTTGACACCTCTTCAGTCCTGCAACCTTGCATCATTCTTTTGACGACCTCGTCGACTAGACGAACTTGCGCCCGAGGCAACGATTATTCTCGTTGATTTTAGAGCACAACCTGCATCGATTCAGCCATAGCTTCATCTTGGAAGCCTCGCTACGGGCAGCTTTGTTTACGGGACTCGGCGCACTTCTACTCTATAATTCTTAATACGGCATTTTGGGAACTCTGCTCATACCACGACTTACTTGGGTACGGACATCGACAAAACACACGAACATTTGCATTGTTCCATACGCCAAACCAGGCTTGCTCGAACAAGGCATTGCTTCCCTGGAACCGCCGTCAACGAGCAACAGCTACATAAATGGATTGCGTGCACCGATAGTTTGTCATAAACTACTGCTGTTGCGTGGGTGGGAGTTCTTGCTAAGGGAACCGCAACCATGGCACCACATGGGGCCACTGTCACTGCCATGCTGAAGCAGACAGTATTCTACCATCTGGACAATTTCGCTCACGACAATGCCCTCTTCTTTGCCGAGAGATTGCATGCTCATGCACCTCAGTCGCACGATTCGGTCTACATTCTCGCACTTTGCCACTTCAGACTCGGCGACCACCAGTCGGTATACGAAATCAGCAAGAACGCAGGTTACAGGGGAACGCATCTGGGATGCGCCTTTATATTTGCCCAAGCATGTCTCGAGCTGGATCGGTACAAGGATGGCATCACGG